ACTAGCGATGGCCTCCAACCTAATAGCAATGGCCTCCAACCTAGTAGCGATGCCCAAAAAATCCGAAATGTGCTGCATCGAAGGAGGATCACATGATCAACCCATGGTCGTCACCGAGGCTTGAGGAAGGATTTGGACTTGACCACCTTCAGCTGCATCACCTTTGCAGGGCCCAACCTGCTGATTGCTGGAGGTCGAAAACAAGGAAAACAGCATGAACATATATGAACACATGCACAAACAACCAGCTGTTTTATTGCTTGGTTTGGGTCTGAATCAAATGTCATATGTGCTTCTTTGCTTTTCGCCTTGGAGGTAGCGATGGTTCTTTGAGCATCTTTCAGCCGCGCAAAGGCTCCTTGATTGGACTGGGGTGGCTCAATGGGTTTCTCCATTTCCGGGTTCTTAACGACTAGTGACTAGCTGCATTCCCATTGTTACATTTGTTATTGTTATGCCTCCCGTTCATATGTGTCGAAATGAAGTAATCTGGAACGCCCCCAGTCCCGCCAAAAAGCTGAGCGACTTCCTATTAATGGTCCAACAGCTGTTCACCTTGAGCCCAACGATCCAAAAGTCACCCATGCCATTTGCCTGTGATGGTGATGTGCCTGGCTGAAAGAACTTGATTAGACATTTGTTTTCTTGACAGCTTGGCTGTCGGGCCAACAAATGAACGGCATTCAGTCTGTGAGCTTCCTCTCCAAACTCAATCTCTATGTGACAATGGAGATGTATGTTTTCGGGTGCGTATTTTTCGGTCAATTCAACCTGCTATTGGGGGTGAGACCATTCTTCGAGCCCTCAAGATTGTGCTCTCCTCGAGGTGTGGAGATGTATCGACTGGATCTTTGCCATCATGATGTGTTTCTTGGAGTAGGTAGATGGGTTTGATCCGCCATTGGACCGAACGGTCAGGTGAGTCTCATCGTATATATATATATATACATGTATGTCCGAGATTTAGTCTTAGGTGCTTTTTCCCCAAACAGTTTACTGTTGGGGGTTCTCAATGCTTTAAAGAATGGTCGCCTTGGTGCTGGATGGTCTGGTCGGGTTCCCGGCCGGCTTGTCTCCCACTTCCTTTCATTTGTCTCCCAGTTCTTTTCATTTGTCTCCCAGGCTGGGTGCTTGTGGTCGGGTTCCCGGCTGGCTTGTCTCCCACTTCCTTTCATTTGTCTCCCACTTCTTTTCAATTGTCTCCCAGTTCTTTTCACTTGTCTCCCAGGCTGGGTGCTTGTGGTCGGGTTCCCGGCTGGCTTGCTTCCCCCCTCCCTTTCATTTGTCTCCCAGTTCTTTTCATTTGTCTCCCAGGCCACTTCCTTTCATTTGTCTCCAACTTCTTTTCATTGTCTCCCAGGCTGGTGCTTGTGGTCGGGTTCCCGGCCGGCTTGTCTCCCACTTCCTTTCATTTGTCTCCCACTTCTTTTCATTTGTCTCCCAGGCTGGGTGGTCGCCCGGCTTGTCTCCCACTTCCTTTCATTTGTCTCCCACTTCTTTTCTGCTTGTGGTCGGGTTCCCGGCCGCGTTGTCTCCCACTTCCTCTTATTTGTCTCCCACTTCTTTTCATTTGTCTCCCAGGCTGGGTGCTTGTGGTCGGGTTCCCGGCCGGCTTGTCTCCCACTTGCTTTCATTTGTCTCCCGGTTCTTTTCATTTTTTGTCGGGTTCCCGGCCGGCTTGTCTCCCACTTCCTTGAATGTGTCTCCCACTTCTTTTCATTTGTCTCTCAGGCTGGGTGCTTGTGGTCCGGTTCCCGGCTGGCTTGTCTCCCACTTCCTTGCATTTCTCCCATTTCCTTTTATTTGTCTCCCGCTTCTTTTCATTTGTCTCCCAGGCTGGGTGCTTGTAGCCCGGTTTCCGGGCGGCTTGTCTCCCACTTCCTTGCATTTGTCCTCCACTTTTTCCCCAAACAGTTTACTGTTAGGGGTTCTCAATTCTTTCTTAAGACGTGTCCGCCCTTTGTGTCACTGCTGGTGTCCGCCCATTTCCACTGGCCATGTAACATTTCTATTCATCCGTCTCCCAGGTCTGTCACTGTTGGTGCCCGCCCTTTTCCGCTGGCCATGCAGCATTTCTATTCATGTGTCTCCCAGGTCTGTCACTGATGGTGTCCGCCCATTTCCGCTGGTCGCGTAGCATTTCTTTTCATTTGTCTCCCAGGTCTGTCACTGCTGGCGATGCAACATTTCTATTCATTTGTCTCCCAGGTCTGTCACTTGCGGTGTCCACCCTTTTCCGCTGGGGATGCAACATTTCTATTCATTTGTTTCCCAAGTCTGTCACTGCTAATGTCCGCCCTTTTCTGTTGGCCATGCAGCATTTCTGTTCATTTGTCTCCCAGGCCTATCACTGTCTATCACTGGTGGTGTCCGCCCTTTTCTGCTGGCCATGTAGCATTTCTATTCATTTGTCTGCTGTCACTGCTGGTGTCCGCCCCTTTCTCCTGGCCATGTAGCATTTCCATTCATTTGTCTCCCAGGTCTGTCACTGCTGGCGTCCGCCCCTTTCTGCTGGTCATGTAGCATTTCTATTCGTTTGTCTCCCAGCCTGCACTGCTTGGTCATGTAGCATTTCTGTTCATCCGCTCTTTGCCGCTGGCCATGTAGCATTTCTATTCTTTTGTCTCCCAGGTCTGTCGCTGGTGTGTCCTTGTCTATTGGCCATGAA